GCTAATTGCAATGAAACATTTCCAACTGTAATGATTCACTCCAGACATCTGAAGAATATTGTTGAACTGAAATACTTTTGTCGAGCAAAATGATTCAAAATTCCTGTTGACTGTTCTGCAGGTGGGTGGTTGTTCGAAGGTATGGTCCAAGAGTGTGACATGAAAGCCCAAAAATAGAGTTGTTGAAAAGCAGGTAAAAACAAAACAAAAAAGGCTATTTTTGAAAATGTGGAAAGAAGGAAGCACAAAGATAGGAAACTAGGATACAAGACATCAAGAAAGCAAGTTATTGATTGTCAAGGGAAGAAAAGAATGATTCCCGAAGGGCGTCAGCATTGAATCATACGGTTGGACCACATTTTCTGAGAACCGCCCCAAAACACCCTTTTCCCCCCCAGTCAATTAATTCAGCAAAATTGTCTTGGTCAATACATTTGGATTTCTTTATTTAATTAAACCCACTGCAGGAAAGGTAAGTTGACAACAAAAAAAGTGTTATGTCCCTGTGTAAGTGTTGATCTGAATTTGTGATGTTAAAGCACAAGTACACTGTATTTTCAGCACGATAAGGTGCTTCGGATTATAGTTATAGTCAACCGTTTTCATGCATAAGGCGTACTGCATTATAAGGTGCATAGAATAGAAGCTGCAATAGTGGCTGCAGCTGTGCTATGCATCCACTAGATGGCGCTACGGTAAGAGAATACAATACAATACAATACAGCTTTAGTTATATAGAGCTTAGCCATGCAGAACTGGTCACAAACACTGACATGAAACATATAAACACAAATGGCAGTACAAAAAAATAAATGAAAGACTAAAGTTATCAGTCCAGTGGTTAACGCGTCGACCTCACAGTGCAGAGGTCCCAGGTTCAATTCCAGCTCCGGCCTCCCTGTGTGGAGTTTGCATGTTTTCTCCGGGTACTCTGGTTTCCTCCCACATTCCAAAAACATGCATGGCAGGCTGATTGAACACTTAAAATTGTCCCAAGGTGTGCATTTGAGCGTGGATATTTGTCCGTCTCTGTGCGCCCTGCGATTGGCGGGCAACCGGTTTAGGGTGTCCCCCGCCTACTGCCCGAAGACAGCTGGGATAGGCTCCAGCACCCACCGTGACCCTTGTGAGGATAAAGCGTATCGGAAAATGGATGGACAAAAGTTTTGAAGAAAATTGATTCCACAAAAAGGCACACAAATCTCATGGGCTCACATCCATAAGGGGCTAGATATCCTTAGAAATCTTGCTTGTCTCCGTCTTCCTTCGTTTTAGTTGGTAGTTAACGCTGCTTTTGGTATTATCTTCATTTAATAATGGCTGCGCAGAGCTCACAAAGTAGTTGTCTGTTTGAGTCTGTCATGGCGAATGCACATGTCATTTGGTTCCTGCTAATAATCACCACGAACAGGGAAACAACTCAATGGAGAATATAAAGAGACTGGGTAACACCATACATAAGTGGCATTGGTTAATAGGGTGTACTGTCGGCTTTTGGGAAAATTGAATACTTTTGTTGCGCCTTCTAGTGTGGAAAATACGGTAGTTGTCTGTTACACAAGTCCTGATTCAGAGTATAAAGGACCCTTTGCTTTGATGGTGCGTGTCAAATCCAAAGTTCACAAAGTTTGATTTTTCTTGCAGGTTTCCTGGAGTTCCACAGGGCCTGCAAGAGGAAAATGGTATTCAGTACCGATTCGAAGTTTATGAGAGCATTGCACATTGATGTCAATTCGACAGGAAATGGACCCCTGAAAATTTGCCATGTGTTCATGTAATTTTTTTGAATTAAAATCCGCAATCTGACCAAACAAAAGTTTTCATGTTTTCCAATTTCAATTAACACCTCGGTAGTTGGTCCTGAGGGTTTCTTAGTTTAATCAGCCACTTGAATGCCCTATTTTCAACTGTGGTTACTGGTAAATTGTCCTGTGTAATTCAAGAAGCTCCTGCATTTGTAATATTGGTCTCTTTGATTTTTTTTTTTTTTTAAGTCATAAGGCGTGTGTGTGTGTGTGTGTGTGTGTGTGTGTGTGTGTGTGTGTGAGGGTTCTGGTTCATGTCACAAAATATGGATAATAATAACATGTGACCACTGAACTTTTTGGGCCTTTGTGTGTTTTCCTTCGTGGGAATTCCCATTTTCTTTTTCTTCAAGGTTAAGGCTACTATCTTATCTGTATGAAGAAGATGAAAATATTGCACAGAGGTGAGCATTCGTCAGTCTGCTAGTCCATCTGTGAGCTTTCGTAAGTATTTTAGGCCAAACGGGATCCAGTGGACTTAGCTTTACCACATCACATGCAGGCACTGCACACCTGATATGCAGCCAAAAAAAAAAAAAACAGCATTGAAGAAATTTTAGCCCCATGGATTGTAATGACATCCTGGAAAAAAATACAGTACTACCCAAATGCGCATTGACCTAGCTTTAATAGATTGATTGGTTGAATTATTCAATTGGCTTCTATAAAACAAAAAAAAGAAAAAACAGAATAGTCAATAGTTTTTTTTTTTCCTGGAAAACTAGCTGATTGGTTTGTTTTGATTTTTAAGTTGTTCCGGCAGCCCGTTGGGAAATATTTTTGGGGGTAATACTATTGTAAATTGATGTTTGATTTGATTGCTTTTCATTTTAGGTTGGCTTTTACATCTACACAAGGGACTGCCAAAGAAAGCATAATTGAGCTAACTCGTGCGCATTTACATTCTATGTTGTTGATCAATTATTTATTGTCCCTTTTTAAATAAAGAAATATGAAATATAGCACGTAGCGGCCCAGTAGTCCAGTGGTTAGCGCGTCGACCTCACAGTGCAGAGGTCGGCCTCCCTGTGTGGGCTTTGCATGTTCTCCCCGGGCCTGCATGGGTTTTCTCCTGGTACTCCGGTTTCCTCCCACATTCCAAAAACATGCATGGCAGGCTGATTGAACACTCCAAATTGTCCCTAGGTGTGAGTGTTAGCACGGATGGTTGTTCGTCTCTGTGTGTCCTGCGATTGGCTGGCAACCGGTTCATGGTGTCCCCCGCCTAACTGCCCGAAGACAGCTGGGATAGGCTCCAGCGACCCTAGTGAGGATAAAGCGGATCGGAAAATGGATGGATGGATGAAATACTGTATAGCACAAGCCAGTGGTTAGAGCGAAAACAACAGAGTTCTCCATGAGTTCTGGTGCCCCTCTTCCGCAACAGGTTCACTCAATAAATGAGATAACTCATAATTTTTAATCAATTGATAATAAATCGTCCACACACTGCTTGAAATGTCCTGTTTATTTTTAAGAATAATAGTCCCCCCCCCCCAACGGTATGCACAGATTTTTTTCTAAATCACATGTCAATGCCTGGCTTGCCCATACTTTTTCATGTGAAAAGTGATGTTCAAAAAATATACAATGTATTTTCATGGCGTTTCACATTACACACCTCTGGGTGTAGGCCAAATATGAAGAGTTTTGGTTGTCGCTCTAATTTAATTGAGAGGATCCCCATCCATGCATTTTTTAATCCGCTTATCCGCAGGAGGGTCGTGGGTGTGCTGGAGCCTATCCCAGCTGTCTTCAGGCAGTAGGCAGGGGACGCCCTGAATTGGTTGCCAGCCAATCGCAGGGCATACACAGACAAAGAACCATCCACGCTCACACTAACTCCTAGGGACAATTTCGAGTGTTCCATTCATCTTCCATGCATGTTTTTAGAATGTTAGAGGAAGGCGGAGTACCCGAAGAAAACCCACGCGGGCACAGGGAGAACATGCAAATTCCGCACAGGAAGGCCAGAGCCAGAATCGAACCCTGCACCTTTGCACTGTGAGGCCGACGCTCTAACCAGTCGACCATCGTGTCACCCAAAATTTGACCTCTATACAGTAAAATTCAAGGCAATTAATAAAAAATAATTTAAAAAAAAAAAAAGTAAAATTAAACTTCAGCAAGGTGGCCCGGTGGCCCAGTGGTTAGTGGGTCAAACTCACAGTGCAGAAGTCCCGGGTTTGACTCCTGCTCCGGCCTCCCTGTGTGGAGTTTGCGTGTTCTCCCTGTGTCTGCGTGGGTTTTCTCAGCGTACTGCGGTTTCCTCCCACATTCCAAAAACACGCATGGCAGGCTGATTGAACACTCTAAATTGTCCCTAGGTGGGAGTGTGAGCGCGGATGGTTGTTTGTCTCTGTGTGCCCTGCGAGTTATTCATCATATCATTAAAATCACCTCCAATAATTATATGTGCTTCATTGTATTTCTTTTTAAGATGGAAAGTTTCATACAAATGTTTGTAAACATTACTCTTGATTGAGCAGCATTGTTCTGACTATAAAGATTACAGGTTACAAACAAAGAGTTGTCTACTTTACTAAAATAATCCACCGACCATCTTCTGAAAAAAATGATTCAATTGTGTCTCCTCTGAACTTGTTAAATTAAATACTGACCCCTGGTGACCGAGATGAGCCATGACTGAAGTAACATTTGTCTCCCCATTGAGCTTTCCAAAATTTCACACCACAACTTTCTGAGTGGGTCTCTTGCAAAAAAAATAAAATAAATAAATAAATGAAATTTCTCTTTGTATTATCAACCTGTGAGTTATGGTAACAGGGTTGCGTGTATGTTGCGGGACACACACCCTATGAATAATAAAAAATATTTAAAATACTATGTTTGTTGAAACAAATGTTTGCCTAGTTGCAAGAGGCATCAATTTAACAAGTAATACAAAAAAATGAAGTTTAAATTTAATTTTAACTGAGATCCAATTTTAAAACAATTTTCAAGCATTCTTTTCTCCTACCTTTTTTTTTTTTATATTTGCTCTCAGCACAAGTACATTTACACAAAAACTGGATCTTTTATTATTTTGTGTGTGGATTATTTCGAATTTGATTGGTGGGACGTAAAATGTTTCCACTTTATCTTACCATTTGTATCAATCCCAGGCAATTTTCTAGCGTGACACAAGAGGAAACTGTCTGGGAGGAGGAGTCCAGGGTAATAACAACGTAGCAGACTGTGTTTTGGCCCCGCCTGTTGGGACAGAGAGGCTGCCAAATGCCGCTTGATTCCCTAAAGTATTTTAATCATACCTTTTGGATAAAGCAACACATGAAAAGCCAAGCAACAACCGAATCTTACAAGTTTTTGCTTGTTTGCGAGAAGGGTTGTTTACGTCCGGCACATTTTATTTTTACTGAGATTTTCGTGTCTGGTGCCATTTTCCAACACTGCATGAATTCGGTATTTATCTCCTGGTAGTTGCGTTTGACATTAAAAGTGTATATATTTTGTTTTCCACGCGAACATGAGCTTTCCACGGCGTTTCAAACAGGAATGGACACTCACCTTCGAAATTCATCGCCATGCAGCCCAAGGTATAGTGTAAAATACTTATTCTTTTTTACCCCCACTTTTCTTTGTTTTTCAATGCAGTCTGACTTTCTTCAACGAAATAAGTCATACAATAGTGGGGAAAAAAAGCAAGCTAGCTGTGACAGTTTGTTCTTGCTTCTTGATTAAGACTATTGAAATGTATTTTTAGGTCCAAGAGCAGTCAGCCTAAGGCGTGCTAACACTTCTTTCCTAACACGCTTCATTCCACAGGATGGATACCTTTAAATAGGATTTGACTGGTTGGCTGCAACGTAAAAAAAGCAAATTTAATCGCCCGTATTTATTATTATAATTATTATTTTGTCACGCCAGGCTGCAAAATTTATATTCATTTGCTCACCAATCATTAGCCTACCTGCGTATGTATGGATGATGTTGACAAATGCATGCGATAAATGAACTCAGTTAAAAAAAAAGGCAAGAAAAAAAATGAACGCAACCAATGTGCACAAGTAACAACAAGCATCTATGGTGTGTTGGTGATAAGTATAAATTTGCCTGCTTCTATGTTAAAGGCAAATTATTTGATTTGTTCTTGCATGCATCGGCCTATATATATTATTGTGAGTATTTTTAGCTGGCCAGCCGAAAACAATCCTTCTTACCCCACCAAATTCGGGAACTACATGTAGGCAATTCCAAATGACCACAGAAGTTATCTATTCTACATACTGTATTGTTATTTACATAAACATGAAATTTCATTTCTTTTTCCGAAACATTTTTGGAAAAGGATAACTCTATCTATCTATCTATCTATCTATCTATCTATCTATCTATCTAATCTGATTTGTACTTTAGCTACACCTTCGAGAAAAACTGTGATGTGCCATTGATTTTAGAGTCATTCTAAAACTTGGTCAACAAACATCTAAGAGGATACACTATTAAATATAGTAACCTCGACTGGATCGCAGCCAAGGAAAGGGTTGGTAACCATTTGGGGTTTCCATCCATCCATTTTCAATGCTGCTTATTCTGAACAGGGTCTGAAGGGTGGGGTGCTCGAGCCTACCCCAGCTGACTTTGGGCAGAAGGCAGAAGACACCCTGACCTGGTCGCCAGTCAGGCGCAGGGCACATATAGAGACACACAATCATTCACACCCACATCCACACCATCACTGAGTGGGGACCGATGCTACTCTGCCCGCACACAAGACACACAAGTGTACCACTCCACCATCAGCGATACTTTAAGGGGACTGAATGAAGCAGATAAGATTTGAGGATGTTGGAGGGGTAATACAAAATTACTTGTTATTGCTAGTTGGTTATTGCTGCAGCAAGTAGGACACAAGCTGGCAGTTCTTTCGGCTCTTATTAGCTGAACTAAGAAGATTGAAAAGGGAGGCAAAGTGGTTTCTTTTGTTTTTGTGCAGTGATGTAAGGCAAGTGGATCTACTGTTTACGAAACCCCAAAAAGGAGTTTTGATTTGTATTTTAATATAATAATTTTCTTTTCATGGCAGCTAATATGCTTAAGTGAAATAACTTTAGCAACAATAAATAAGTTAAATTTAAACCCTTAAAGTTAGGAGGGCCCGCTGAAGGGCCCTCCGTCATCTGTCAAAACAAATCGCTGATGCACGTCGTCAGCTGAGTACATGTGTGAACATGTTTTACATCTTTTAAAAGCTGAGTTTCTGGAGATTTGAATGGTACCCTACATGTTACAATTGTCAAATTTGAACTGGAACTTGGGGAGACCTCAAGCTTTGATCCTGTAGTGTTTTCAAGTCCTAATCAATATTCTAAATCCATTTTCAAGGCAGATTTTGTGAAAAGAAATTAGACGAACATAAGATTCGCCTTTTTCTTCTGTTTTCGAACATCCATAGTTCAGTGACAGGAGCGCTTACACAGATTCTGACTGTTGTGGGGGGGGGGGGGGGGGGGGGGATCTTCAAAATAAGAACATTTAGAATATTTCATAAAGAGACCAAAACTATGCTGATACTTCAAATGGTTCAAGAACAGCTACAAATTTACTTAGGATGCACCTTTCCATAGGCGTTTTTGGCAAAGTTGCCCTCGGTTTAAGGGGTATAAGAAACCCCTAAAATCAAATACTTAACAAGTCACAACTTGCAACAAAGTGCTGACTTGAATAAATAAATTAAAAGTAAATACAAAGAGGTAAAAAACTAGAAGTAGCAAACTTAAATCAAAAGGCACCATTAAATTTTTTGTGCCATCCTAAGAAAATATTCCAATGTTGTTTCAAATTGGAGCCCAAAGGATTAGGGATATTTTAAAGCAGGTGGCCACATGTTTTCCTCGCAGGTCTGTTTTCACCTAAGGATTACATGAAAAAATAAAATCAACCCCCCTGCCCCTTCCCAAAAATGTTTTGCTCCTTAAAATGACATTCATTGTTGAAAAGTCCCTTTTGCAGTTTACACTTGAAACAGGGATGACCAAGGCAATGCTTGTAAGAATACAGGGGTAGATGTTACCCCACTTGTCAAACTCACTTGCCAACGGACTCCTTATTTCTGGCCTGGTTCTTGTCCTTCAAAAAGAAGAGATTTTGGTGTCACACCATATCCTAATTGTAATGACAAATCAGTTTCATTCAACCACTTTCAAGAGGAACATGGCTTCAGTTTATGTCTAAGGTAGTGTTGGGCAATATGGAAAAAATATATTTTTCCACAATATTGGCTATTTTGTATCATATCACACAAATACCACAATATTTTTTTCTTGTATTGTCTTGTTTTTGACCCCATACCTTACACAACCGCTTCCTCCTCCACGTCGCCAGCGGAGGAACTTCTATTGTTAAAATACGTAGCTTCATCTTCGGAAGTCATGGCTGCCCATCAAGCTGTGCGTTTAGCTGGACGCTTGGTCAATTTGCTGCTATTATTTTCTGTTTACAGAACTGTTTTATTTATTGGTGCATTCTGTTTCAAATTGCAAACCAATGTTTGAAGAGGAACTCCAATTGGCTAGTCACGCACATTTCCAACACATCTAATGGCGTAAATATGCTCACAGCTCACAGCTGGTCACGTAATATCACAATTCTCAATCATATAATCGCACAGCCCTATTTATATTTGTCTTTAGAAGGTAATCGGCGGGGTTGAGTGTTGACAGATGCTCAGCAACTTCTAAAACTTCTAAACGGCAGACTATTAAGTCCTTCATGACATTTTAACATTTTTGGCCAGCACATCTCTGTGACAATATTCATTCTGAGAGCTTTATCACTCTGAATGTCAGTTTTTGATCAACATTACCACATCACTGCTCACTTTGAAGTGCTTGAGAGCTCTCGGCACTATTTGCATAGCTGTTGTATCAAAATTACTATTACTGGTCCTTTTAAATTGCTTGACTTTATGCAGCATTTGTGCAATTGCCATTGTAACAGCATGACAGCACTTGTGACTCTCTGTACCTGTGTGTTTATGTTCTAAATGTGTATTTTGTTATAGTGGTTTGTTTGCGGCATTATGAGAGCTACCAGAGACAAATTTATGGTGTGTTTTGAACACACTTAGCAAATAAAAATGATTCCATTTCTGAATACTCAAGGGACACCAACTACTTGTGTGTTTCTTGGTGATCCAATAACTTGACACAAGTTAACTTGGCTTTTTGTACATTACTGCGCCAACATCTTAATACTTAAGCAAGCATCAAATAGGTGTGATTCACTCATACTAAAATTCTGGTGGATGTAGTTTGGGTCACAACACGTTTTGACCATTGAGCTTACAACAGGGGTCCCCAACCGCCGGTTTTCATGCAGCTCATATCATATTATTTTGTTGTATTATTTCCGCCACACCTTAAATGCCGGTCCCTGAAAATATTGTCTGACATAAACCGGCCCGTGGGGCAAAAAAGGTTGGGGACCCCTGGCTTACAACCTGTATTCTGTCACTAAATTGCATTTGGAACATACAAAAGGGGCTTTTTGTAATCTTTGGCCATATGGTAACAATAGCCGGGGAGGGGAGGACAGGATGGGATAAGAAATATAGGTCAATCTGAAGCATGAAACAAAGACTGGTTCATGCATTACCATTTTAAAACGGTTTAGATCAGGGGTCCCCAACCGCCGGTCCGCGGACCGGGACCGGTCCGCAGGGCATTTGGGGCCGGGCCGCACAGAAAGAACTTGCCTTAATTCCGTTTTATTTCGGAATACGAAAGATGTTTTATTTTGAAAAATTACCGGATTCTCCGTTACATCCGTCTGTGTCACGCTTGACACACGTCAAGCCACGCTTTCCCCCGTCACGTGACCGATTCCGCTTAAAAACAAAACACCAGAGCTCGCAAAATGAGTAAAAAAACTGCTGGAGATCAAATGACAGCGGCCTTAAAAGTACGTTCGAGACAACTGGATTAAAGTTATGGCTGAATATTCTGAGATCACCACAGTAGGACTGTTGCTATTTCCGACATGCTACCTGTGGGAGGCGGGGCTTTTCTGCAGCAACGGCGACTAAAACAAAATTACGAAGTAGACTTGACGCAAAACACACACTTGAGGTGTCATTGTCTCCTATTACCCCGAGATGGGACCGTCTGGTTGCAGAAAATCAAGCTCGGGGCTGTGGTGAGTGGTCATTTTCATGCACTTTGAATTTGCATTGTATCGTATTTTGAAGGCATTAAACATTACCATAGCGATCAGAGTGTTGCGGCCAGATTAGACGCTCCTTGTGTTTATTATTATATTTCGAAAACACCACAGTTTTCATGCAGCTCATACCATATTATTTTGTTGTATTATTTCCGCCACACCTGATATGCCGGTCCCTGAAAATATTGTCTGACATAAACCGGTCCGTGGGGCAAAAAAGGTTGGGGACCCCTGGTTTAGATAATGTCAGTGATCTTGCCACATCGTAAAAGCAACATTTAAATGAATAAAATGACTTATAGCAGTTGTAGAAAGTCTGCAAGTGTCGAAAGAAAATTGTGTGACTCCAAGACAAGTGGCAGGTACATATTAG